CCTCTTCATTAGAAATGCTTTGCATCAGAGAAATTCAGGGAAAAAACACAAGCTGCACTCTTCTGTTTCAGATAATTTTAGCACAGCGAGTTATGCTGAGCATTAAACTGTGACCACAGTTCCCATAGTGAGTACTGATTCATTTGGGCCTGCTCCAGCAGACCTGCTTTACAAATAAAATGTCTGCAGCATTATCATTTGAGAATGTATCCTGGACTCCCAGTCTCAAGGTTTAATGCATTTGAGAATATTACACATTTTTCTTGAAATGCAGGATTCAGTGTTGAGGCCATAGTTGAAGTGAATGTACTCTGGTTGAAGTCACATGCCTTGAATCTATTTGCCCCCAGCTGCAGTCATTCAACCCTGACAATTTCAGAATGTGTTAATTTTAAATCTGCTTTCCTTTCAACGTGCTGACAGATGCCTGTTGGGGCAGGGAGAAAGGGCTTGTTGGTCACCTCTGAAAGGTTCTGACGAGGTTCTGAAATCACAGGATATAAAGAACAGATATTTACAATCTCAAACCACCCACAAAAGGCTTTGGTGGCCATTTAGAGGTGATCACAGCAAGGATCCTGATCAAAGAAGTGATTCATCTTTCCTCTTTAAGAAGAGCTGCAAAAATCTTCAATTCCCCATTGAAACAAACAAAGATTTATTTTTGCAGGTTTGAAAATACTGTGCCTAACTATGTTGGCGCATTCTAGTTAAGACAGCACAATTTTGTTGTTGATGTGCTGTCCTCTCTTGAACTTCAAAATCTCCACAGTTATCACAGCTGCCTTTATTAACTGAGGATTCTCTCATGATTCTGCTCTGTCTTTCTCCACTTGCCCTCCAGAGCAATGGAAAAAAGAATCTGGCCATGTGTCCAAATAACTCCTCATTAATCAATTGCAGAGTATGCTCCAACAATGCTTTACATCAAAATGGGTTTTTAAATGAGTTTAAAAATGTATAGGCTTCATTCCAGAGCCTATAAAATGAAGGAGAACATTGAAGCATCTTGAAGAGTGTAGAAAAATCTATGCATGCCAAATTCCTTTTTCATGGTAACACTTCCCTGTCAGCTGGAGCATTCCTTGGAGTCCTTTTATTTAGATATGTCACCAAAGAGGCTAGAGAGCTTTGTTTCACGTATTGCCATCAAGTATGGGACAAAAATAAAACTGTAAAAGAGAAGAAATACAGAGTTTGATGCTTCATTCTCCCTAGAAACTAAAATGGTCCAAAATATATATAAAATCCAGAGAAAGAAATAGACTGCAAGACTTAAGAAGTCCCTTTATTTAATTCCCCTTATAAAGGGCACAATAATCTAATTTTAGCCGTAGAAAAGTCTGTAAATCCCAGTATTATTCTCCTATAAACCAGAATTTGAAGTCTAGAAGTTGCAGGCACCTTGGCATCTGAAATAGACTAGAATTAGCCAAGGCCAGATGTTGAGTTTTGTGCCTCCTCAGAGTTACTCTTTCTCAGTCTACTTCCTCTAGTGTGGCAAAAACAAGACTTAAACTACTACATCCTTTACACTTCATCATAAAGTAGTATCTTGCATTCCTCTACTATGATAGCTTCATTGTATCACATCTGCATGACTGACCTCTAATTATGTGCCATATAACTTAGTTATTATTCTGCAGGGAGAATGAAAAAAAGACATTCCTCTCAGAGACTTGGGGTTTTTGGCCATTCTCTTGAAGAGACTTACTATCAAAGAACATGTTATTCCCAGTGCTCAGCAAGAACTTGCACTTTTTAATCTCTTCTGGAGGTCAAAATAAGCTTTGTGCCATTGCAAAAATCATTAGCAGCTTCATAAAAACTACTCCAAATAATAAGCATCTGAATTAAAGATAGGTTTTTAGATGATGCTTTAAAGTTTGAGAGATATTTTGCATAAATCTCATGAAAGTTTTGATATTTTTCATTGTGAAAAAAAATTCATTTTGATTCCTGTTCATGTGGAAATTTATTCAGAAACATTAAGAATTAGCTTCTAAAAAATGCCAACATTGTCTATTATAGATGTGAAAATCTGAGTTTTTGAGAGATAAATAGTTTGTACTGAATGGAAAGGACTTGGGAATGATGTGAATGAAGGATGTAGATCCTCCATGGAGAAACATGGAAATGCTGAATAGATTGTGATTGTGCAAGTCAGGTTTCTCTTGTGTCTGTATTTGCCTTTAATCTCATTGCAGATGTCACAATCACTAACTTGTCCTTTTGGATGTGTGTTCATTGCAGGGTCCTCCGGGTCCACCAGGTCTGCAGGGTCCTGTTGGAGCCCCAGGGATAGCTGTGAGTAGCTCGTTCAGAGCCACCCCAACCTTGCATAACTCAGCTGATGCTGACTTCTTTGAACTGTTTCCTTGTTTGCTCCTTACTCAGGAATATATTTCAAAACACCACTAACAGTTCTGTCCCTGCCCACTTACATGCAGTTATTTATTGTAAACATTGTGGGTGTTACTGTATTTACAGCAGGGCAATAATTTGACAAAATTATTAAAAACTAAATACTGTAAATAGTGAATGGGGGTCATCCTTTCACTGAACTTGTTTGGTGGTGTGTTTGGCAGCTCAGTACATATGCAGGTAAAAAAGAGTGTCTTTTTTTTTTAAATCCACCTGATAGCAAGTGAATGAATTCTTATTTTTATTTAAAGGCACTGAATTCTTTTAGCCTAAGTATTGGTAGAACCCTGTGCTACTCATATTTACATAGGTTTTCAACAGCTAGAATGTTTATGCAGATGTGATAGAGAGGGGGAATTCAGGGAACATTTCTGTGAGATATGCAGCACTAATTGACCTATATTAAACTAGAGCAAGGGCTGGTATTGTTTGTGCAACAGCTTGCATCTAGCCAAGATGATGAACATGCATTTGTAAAGATACTTGGTGTGATTCTGAGCCCTTTTGTAGTTGTTTCCCAGTCATTTCCATGGAGCTTTTCCTGTTGACAGTTTTGCTCTTCATTGTTTCCAACCAGGGAGGTGATGGAGAGCCAGGCCCAAGAGGTCAGCAAGGGATGTTTGGGCAAAAAGGTGACGAAGGTCCTCGAGGCTTCCCTGGGCCCCCAGGTCCTATTGGCTTACAGGTAAATTTATTATTTTACCTTATATCTGTAAAACAAGATGTAACAGAAAAAGTGTAAAAGCACTGATTTCTGTGTCAGAAACTAAATGACTACTGTCCTCTATTAAATAAATGATAGCATCAGATAATTAGGATTGAAAGATTCCATATTGATGGGGTTCATGCATAAACAACAGATTTAATGCAGCAGGACTTAAATATATATATATATCAGAGCATAAATTACCCAGACTCCCACCTCAGGTCTGGATAAACTGGCAATGTTTTTAAAATCATCCAGTTTAGCATTTGTGTGTGTGTTTTTTGGTTTTTTTTTTTTTCCAGCCCAAAATTTTTGTTACCTAGTTTAAGCATTTTAGGACCATACATTTACTGTAATATGAAAATCTCCCTTCCTTTTCTTTCCATTTTAATGCAGATAGGTCTTTTTCTTCTTGTTCAACCATCCTGCCCCCTCCCAAGTGCACAAATTTGATGTGTAGATCTGATTTACATTGTTTCATATTGATTTATAACTAATCATTCCAGGGACCCAATTACAGTATTCTTCCCTGTGTTTTTTAGGGTCTGCCTGGCCCACCAGGTGAAAAAGGTGAAAACGGAGATGTGGGCCCAATGGTAAGACTTCTTCCCCACTGGTCTTTCTAGAGGACATGAATATTCTCCATATATTATTGTCTTTTCTCTATAGCTCACCATTTGATAAGATATTCCTGAATTTGGTGACCGAGTATGAAACATTTTGTGTAATATAAACTCTCTCTGGGATTTTCTTTGCTTTCCCACATCTATCCCCTTATTATTAATATTGAGATTTATGTAACATGAGAAAATACTGAAAAATAGGTAACAAAGCAGATGATCTGTGTGCCTGAGACAGCCCAGTGACAATCAGGTTCAGAAAAGAAAGAGGAAAAAGCAAATACCACTGCACAAGAGAGTCTGGAGCTGCCTTCCTGAAGTTCAGGCCATTGTTATTAACATACAGTGTCATGTACTTGAAGGCCAGAAGATGGTAAACAATAAACACTACTTGGCTCTGTTTACTTTCCCTGGGTGATGCATTTTCCAGCTGTTTCTCCTGCTGACAGAATGCCTCCTGGGCTGTTCCTGACTGCTATGCAAGCACTCTACTCCATACATTTGCCTCCAGCACCTTGTGCTAAGTCTGGCTGCTTCTCTCCTGCCCATCTGTGGGCACCATGGTGCAGTTCTGCCCTAGGGCTGTCACAGACACTTGAGCTGGTCCAGGTCTCTGCATGCAGGGAACCTGTAGGGAAAGAACCAGGCCTCAGGGGGTCCTAAGCATCAGGTCATGTCCAGCTCAGGCACTGTGTGGCACAGCCTACATCTCCTGTGACCTTCTGAACTCATCCAGCAGGCAGCAATCTGGCCCTGCTGTTCCTGCTGTATGATGAAGATTAAAAGCCCTCTACAGATTGAGTATATTCTTTTTCATGGTCAGAAATTCTTCATGAGTGTAACTATATTATATCTGTTCTATGATTCTGTCACATCACATTGTCTCTTTGATATAGGGTCCACCTGGCCCACCAGGTCCAAGAGGTCCCCAGGGTCCTAATGGAGCTGATGTAAGAATCAATCTATTTTTTTGTCTTGCTAACTGGGTAATAAGCACCCTATTTTGGATAACTATATTTTGGATAACAAAAATCTTTTATCACTGTAGGGTCCTCAAGGTCCCCCAGGCTCAATCGGCTCTGTTGGAGGTGTTGGTGAAAAGGTGAGTGTGGATGGAAACCCCCAAGGAAGAGAAAACATTGGGATAAGAATGCTATGAGACATTAATTCATTAAAATTCTTTTCACTGCTATTTTCAGTTCTCTATTCAGAAATTTTTCTGCCAGGATATGGAGTGAGTTTGTTTGGGATTGGTTACTTTCATATTTTACCCAAGGAACATGCCAGATTTCTCCTCCTTGTTCTTAAAGGAAGGATGAGGTATGAAGAGATATAGGTGCTTTTTTTTTCAGTGATTTATTTGAAGCAACAGAGTAAACTATTATATAGTGCTGAGCAAGCAAAAAGTTCAAAAGAGAGTCTTAAAATGTTTATGTTTATTTTATCAAGTTACATGACTTCAACCACATCACCTACGTAAGCCTAAAAGCCTTTTGCTGTAATGTTACAGATTTAACATTAATTTTTTCCTGAACTTTGGAATGGGAAAGAAGATTCTGAGTGAAGCATAAGATGGAGGAAACAAAATAGAAATATATTCCAGGCCAATATATAAATTGCTTATTGAGAAACTATGTAGATTGCTCTTGAGTATTTCATGATTTGTCACAGAGTATCACACATGTTCAAAGAAACACCAATGTCAGTGAATCCTAGAAAAGACATCACTAGGAATGTCAGTACTGGTAGTTTTTCAGAAAGCTTTATTTTTAACTTTTCAGAACATGAAGCAGTATTTCCCTTTTTCTAACTAAAACAGCCTTTTAAAAGAATCTTCAGGTGTTTCATTTTTTTTCCTACATACCCATCAATTAAATCACTTACCAGTGCTCTGGGATGTGAAGAATGTACTAGAATAATACAATATAATATTTGGTTTGATGGAGAAATATCCTTTGTCTCCCTCACTGTCCTTTGAGACCAGAGGGTACTGAGCCCAAACTGATGTCATTGTGGCAAGCTGGCAGTGCTTGTTTCTTCACTGCAGTGCTTCTTTCTCAGGATGTGGCTCTGAGCATCAGCTCACCTCTTGGGAACAGCAGCATTCTGGTGTTTTCAATCTTTTTTCCCCAGAATTGCACAAGACACACAAAACACGATGCACTCCTGCTTGACTGCATTATTAACAAGGATATTTCTTCTAATGTCCCAAGTTCATGACATTGTTCAACCAGCTTGGCCTCATGAAGGGCTGCACGATTTGGTTTTTTCTCTCTGGGAAGAGTACCAAAAATGAGACATAATCTAGGAGTTGAGAGAAATAAAAAGCTATGGGGGAAAGAGAGTCTGTATGTCAGTGGAACACAGAAAATAATGGGCATTGTGGGAAAAAAAAATTCCTGTGACCACTACTGAGGAAAATGTTAATTATGAGAACATCCAGGGTAGCACCCAATTATATTCAGTACTTTAAAAAAACCCACCTTGTAAAATATTGTGGCCCAACGAACTTGATAGGAATTTTTGCAATTAGTTTCAGGCACCTTTTTAATTTTCAGCATTTCACGATCAAATTATATTCCAGCCATTTTCTAAACACATTACCTTATATTGAACTCCTGCCTCCTTTGTTTCTCCCTGCAACTCATCTGTGTGATTTAGAATCACTGTTTGTGATGATTAGGCCATGAAATTTAATTCAAGAACATGAATTCCAGACTGTTTATCACTTGGTTGTCATTTTTTATTTCCTCTAGCTAATATCCCATGTTCTCTGCCTTCACAAAGAGAATCTTCCAAGTGTATTATTTTGGACATTTATATTAATTGTAATTACTTTCTTCCCTCCTCCTCCTCAAGTTTTAGTACATGCCAGGGTATTTTCCTTGTTAGGGTATCTTTCTTATAAATTTCAGTTCCTTTTAATGAGATTTCAAGCTGAGATATCATCAAGAGTTGTTTTTTCAGGAGGAGTTGCTGCAATGGGAGGACAGGCCATGCTTTTAAACAAAACATGCATTTTTTCTTTTCCTTTTCTTCCCACACATTTTTCCCCCTATGTTTTTCTTATTATGTCAGCATGCTTTGGCCTCTGCACCCCTTTCAGGAAAGACACACCATAATACAGATAATTTAATACAGTGAGTGTAGAATGTGGAATAACATTCTGGCATCATCCCTGTCACTGCTGAGGAGTGAACTAGGTTTGCTCACTTGCATATTTTAATGGTTTGACCAGGAGATATTTTTTTATTAATACATGGATTTCAAACCCCCCTTATCTTTGGCAGAGATAAACAATTTTTGTCACACTTAGTGCCACGTATTTTTTACTAGCTTGTTGTTTCCCCTGCTCTGCACACAAGGGCCTGAATGTTCAAAGGCATCAGGGCAGCAAATGCTCCTGTAGCCCTGCATTATTAATGCTGTAACCTCCACCGAGGGCCTGGCAGTCTGACACTCAGCAGAACCATTTAAACCCAGCTGCCACACAGGGAGCACTCACTTTCTTCTGCTTTTAATTAAGAGAAATGGACAACCAAAATGTACCTACACACACTTATCTCTAATTTGATATCAAAGGTCTAACATGCAGATATTCCAAACAGGCAGGAAGTTGCTCATGACTTCTCTAACCTGTGCCTTAGAATGTACATAAGAATTTACAACAGAGCGGAAACAGATGTTAACCCCACACTTCCACATAACCTATTGAAATAAATTTGCCTTTCTAATTTAGATTAATTTGTGATAATTGCACTGAGCGCTGTGCTGTTCTTCTACCCCTTCTCCCTTCCACAGCACATTATAAACCTTATAAACCATCAGAGTCAGAGAGCAATACAAACCCAGTGTCTGCAGAACCCACAGAGCATTTGTTCTGTAGCCTCTCAGAGTTCAGGCCTGGTTTACTGCATGAAAAGGTCTCGTGTTAGAAAACCACGATACTCATTAAATTTCTTCCTATTATATTGTTCTAAAAAAACTTTCCAAAGTAGTACACTAATAAGGAGTGTACTACAAGGAGTGTAAACAAGCGAGATCAATAGTTCTCATGCTTAATCATTGATTCATACTGCAGATGGAAGTGAGAGGACAAAATCAATTGAGTATCCTGGCTCTAAGTTTAGAAGCATGTTTGATATGTGTTCACAGACAGTTTTATGTATATATATAATTTTTCCACACATGTATGTGTAGACACTGCTAAGGTACCTAATCAAGGTGTGTCTGTGACAGTGTAGACTACCTGAATATCCATCCTAACAAATTACTTTTAATAATGATCTCCTGACTGTGATATTTTTCTCATCCAACATTGCAAACAAGAGCCCTCGCAGAAAACACAGCCTTTAGAATTTCTCTCAATTCAATTTAGTTCTCCACAGAGCCACTATATATAATACATATGCAGGCCTATGCAAAAGGGATTCTCTTCTAGAGGTACAATTTCTCCTTTTTTTGTTTTGTGAGAATGGCAAAAAGGAGCAAAACTAACTTATCATAACCCAGAAAGTTGCAAAGTTGCCTCTCATTGTTACAGAATTAAAGGCTATGTCCCAGAATTTAACCAAAAGGTGGCAGCCTTCCATCCACTATCTTTGTGCTTTGGCTATCAGTTCTCTAGAACTGATCATAAGGAAAAGAACATTTTTTAAACCTTAAAACTTCTAAATAATGTTTTTTTAAATTTTAACTTTTAGACTACTTTGCCTAGCTTGGTAGAAACCATTCTGCTTAATCCAAGAAGGTTTTCAGAATTAAGTATGTCTGCAAAACGACATGACCCTTTGTAGTTTAAGATGTCTGTCTTTCCCTTTTGAAATACTGTCGGAGAAAGGCTTTGCCTAAGAAAGACCACAGTAACTTTTAAAAGATCTGAGCTGCTAACAAAAGAGAGAAAAATCTCCTGAGATGGAATAAATATATTATTAGATCATAAAATCTGTTTCCCAACAGAACATGAAATATTTCCTATGGAGAAGGTTCTGAATTAATGCCATTGTTACTAAAAATGAAAATAAAGACGAGGGAAAACAATACATAGGTTTTAGTAGCTATAAATAGGCACTCTGTAACTATATATTAGCCACAGTCTTCTCTATCAAAACACTGTTTAACTCCCTTAACAGTTATCTAAACCAAATGAGCATTTCATAATACCGAATACTTGGAATATAGAAATCACTGTCAGATAAAACAAGGACTGCCTACATGGAAGGGGTAGATTTTTTAATAGAATAATGATATAGAAATATTAATGTGAGATGAAACTTTAACTGGTCTCATCTTTCACAAATGCCCTTTAAGGGAACATTTTGACATTTTCTAGCCTTTCCAATTCTCAGTTTTCCATACTGCTGCTTGCTGGGGAGCTGCAGTGCACAGAGCCAATGTGTGTGCTGGAGCAGGCACCCCCAATGCTCCCCTGGTGCTCCCAAGCGTAGGTCAGAGGGAGCCCAGTGTTGTTTGATAGAATGAAGATGTGCTTGTCAACAGGAAGGGTAAGAATTGTATTAGCAATCAAATGTGGATCGTCATAAATTACAGTATCATTAGGCAGAAAAGCAGAAGCTGCCAAGGGGATTACACTGCAGAAGTGCTTGTCTGCAAAGACTGGGCACAATCAGCGCCCTTATGTCACTGCTTCATTTTGTCCTGCCATGGGCTCACCTTTGGAGAGGCTCTATATGGTGGATTCTGTGGATATAGTATGGCTACTAACATGAAAAACATATTTTTGCTGATTCCAGACGTCATTCTCTGTTGCTACAAAAATCTCATTTGATTGATAGTAGGCATGGACAAAACCCTAATGCTAATGATGCTGCAGACTCAGTAAATGCTGTGCAGAGAATAAGAACATGAAGATTGTGAATTTTCCTAGAAAACATTCTTAACCCTTATTGACCTGAAGCATCCATTACAGGTTTTGTTTTAAAATGGATGCAACATTACAGAAGTAAATTAATATTAAACATTAAAAGGGATCATTCATTTTTGAAGTTCCTACAAATTTCAGTATATCTAATAGAACATACCAGTTTCTAAAGGCAGATTCATCCTTTAATAGTGCCCTTATTAAAGGGCATTTTAATATTGCTCCTAAAAGATTGGTTATCTGTTAATTATCCTAGTATGGAATTCAGCTGAGAGGTACTGAAATATTTTCCTTTAATCTAATGAAATATTTGTACTGGGCCAAATTCTGGTCCCACTAATGTTAGCATGCTGCTATGAGCTTCTCTGAAAAATGGTGCAGTATCTACACCATAAGTTTTATTTTAAAATTGTATTTTATGATTTATAGTTTTATACTGACCACATGGAAATGACAGACATGTATGAATTAAATGAATTGTTGTAAAATTAAGAGGGGTGTGCAGGTCACACGGGTTAGGAAGGATACACAAATTTATTCCAATTCTGTAAATTCAGTGAATTATTGCATAAAATGCATTTTCAGCACTGAACTACTCTTGCTCATAGATGTAATTATTGGAAAAAGAATATATTGGGGGGAAGAATTCCCCCTACTAGCAGTTGAATTGCAAAATCCAGTGGGATAAACGTATGTATTTCTTATCTAAGCTCTCCATAACAATCACAAAGCACATTCTGTTATCCTTCCATGATTTATGTTTCTGTGATGGTAATAACTAAGTATTCTACCAAGAGAAGAGTTTTCTATAAAAGTTTATGGATCAGACCACTGAGCTAGAAAATTATTGGTCATAACTAAACTTTAACGTGAAGAATTGAAAAGACAGTCCTTGAGATAATACTGTGTATTAACTCAGAAGGAGACTGAATTATTTTAAATGTTCACTTAATAGTGAACAACCTTTGACTTGCATGGATTTTCATATGGTATCATCCTGTAAGCCATCTGCTTTACAAAACAAATTCCATCACTGGTAAATACATAGCACACACCTCTGTAGCCTGTGGAGAAAGTTTTTCTAACTGATGCTATTATTTTATCCTTAGGTTTTTCTTTATAAATTTTTTTTCTTCTTCCAACAGTAGCTATAGCAATAATCACAAGCAGGAAAATTGCAGTATATGGGATAATAAAGGGGAACATCTTCCAAAGCCCAAAGGGAAGTTTAGTCTCCCTGGCTCAAGAAAATATTAGTTTGATCTATTATGTCTCAAATTTCAGACTCCAGTTCTGCATAAACCATATGCATAACTCAACCCCTCTAGGCAGACCAAATAAAAGCCCATTCTTATGAGCTGTTTACATAAATAGGCATGAGAGGAATATGTAA